GAGGGGGAGAGATTGAGAGAAGGCAGAGAGGGTGAGAGAGAGCATTAGATATTCAATTATTATAATCGTACGGTAACACATTTTCTACTTGAACTAGTTGATATTATTCTTCTTCTTATATTTGAGGGGCCCACGATCAATTTGTTGATCATTCTGTTATTCAATTGTACTGAAAGAGCTGACGTTGTATTTTATATTTTTTCATATTAAACTGTGAGTACTTCAATAAAAGTACAGCAGTACTTGGCACTTTCATAATGGGAGGCGGGGAGCCTCATGTGTGAGATAGAGGGAGCCACCAAAAGTTACGGTGAAGAATGTTTACAATGGTGTCACAAGTCGTTACAATGAACACTTATTTACAATGGTGTCACAAGTCGTTACAATGAACACTTATTTACAATGGTGTTACAAGTCGTTACAATGAACAATTATTTACAATGGTGTTACAAGTCGTTACAATGAACACTTATTTACAATGGTGTCACAAGTCGTTACAATGAATACTTATTTACAATGGTGTTACAAGTCGTTACAATGAATACTTATTTACAATGGTGTTACAAGTCTCGTATCTCTCGAGATTGTTAAAATATTATCGTCAAATTAATTTTTGTTATTTCATAGATCATCCATGTGCCCCCACCCCCAACCCCCCCCCCCCGCGCAAATACCCCTTCAACCCTCCCTCGAGGACTCGCGCTACGAATACAATGAAGATCGGATGGACGCGAACTTGTATGGACAGATCAAGTTTGACCTGATGAAGCCTCGCATTATTGTAGAGGCTTATCGTGGTTGTTTGAGTTGCGAAGTCCTAGAAGTGGTCTTGTCGGAATGAGTCCGGGGGGGGGGGGGGGGTGAAGACGACAGATGGCGCTCCAAGTGTATTGTTTAAGTGTTCTTATGGTGCGGTGAGAATCGTGGCAACCATTTTGACCACTCGGACTCAAGCACGGGCTTTATAACTCCGGGGTGCAGACAACGACCCCAATAATTACATTACGTCCATAACCCGTTTTTTTCCGGGTTACAATAAATCGACATCGAACTGGACATCGAACTGGACATCGAACTCGCATAACTGGTTGTGGGGCGTGATTCTTGGAACAATATTTTCCTTAATTCTATGGATTTGTTCATCTTTTTTTTCTTTTTTACCAAGGGTTTGTTTGCATTTATTCTCATGCTCTGCACCCCAATGAAGTGATAAGTCTCGCACCCCTAGCAAATAATAATAGTTTTAACATTGGGGAGATATACCTTACATTTGTTGATGGTTTTTTTTTCTTCCTTTTTTTAATTATTAAGAGAAATGAAAGACTTGCTTGTAACTCGAATGTGTACTTTAAAATAAAGTAAAATGTTCATGAAGAAATAAGCAAATATCTATCAACTTTTATAGCGCAACGTAAAAATCAATGGCTTCCTTGGTCTTATAATCCCTTTTCCTTACACCCCATGAAAATAGGTTGGGAACCCTTATTCTTAAGCTGCACTGGGAATAGCATAATACAATTTTTTTTTATTAAAAAAAAATATGAAGGTTAATAACTATGAGACATCCTTAGAATATGATGGGAAATAAATTTTAGATAACCTTAGAATATGAAGGGAAATATCTTTGAGATAGCCGCACAAAACTAAGGGAACTAACATTGGGATAGACTTAAAATATGAACGTAAAGCAAAGCAAACCACTGAAGATCACATTGGCTGAACATTTGACAAAACGTGTAAGTATGCAAGCAACACACTTGATGAGAGTCCGAATTAGTGCCCCCCTCCCCCCCCCCACCTCAAGGCTCGCAACCGCGCTTTGTTCCCGACCCTGAACTATGTTAATGTTTTAATGACACACCCGCTTTTAACTATTTCAGCAAAACAAAAGAAAATAGTATGCAGAAAATACACGTGGGATTTTTTTAAAAATGTATTTCAAGACTCCCATTTAGCTCAGTTGTCGGGAATTTTAGTTTGTGAAATGAGCGTCATCATATTTCCTTCATATTCTCCTTGAAAACAGGAAAAACTGATTTATTTATTTTTTTTATTTTTTATTTATTTTTTTTTGAGGGGGGGGGGGCTTGCGGTAAGGCTAAAAATTAAATTTGATAGAATGTATTGTCATCGGCAGCAAGCCTATGTGGCAAGTTTCAGCTCGATGCTTTGACGGGAAGTGGGTCAGTAAACCTCCCGAAGCTATTCCAGCCAGCCACGAACAAAATCAAAGTTAATACAAACTACTGTAAAAGGGATTTGGCCTTTTTGGTTCAGGTCAGAATGTAGAATATTTTTTTTTATAAAGGAACGCGGAGCTTGGTGCCTGGCCGAAGCCGGGGAGATCGGTACGCTACATCAGCGTTTCCCAAACTTTTAAGTTTCACGGACAACTGGACCAGGGACCGGTGCCAGATTTATTAATTACATTTTCTTTCTATTTAAACATCAATATTCATGCTCTCAGGATCGGTAACGTAAGGCTTGCGGACCGGTGCCCGGTCCACGGACCACCGTTTGGGGAACCGCTGCGCTACATGACAGAGCCGCAATGCCATGAGCCCGGCAGGGGAAGACCCTTGAAGCGACTACCCCCCAGTAGTGCAGTGCATCCCGGGGGAAAAACTTCACTAAAAATTTAAATAAAATTTATTTTAAATTTTTTTTTTTTTAAAAAAAGAAGATCTTCCTGTCAAATCACCCAACCTTCTTATGGCAGCTCGTGATGTCTCGCCATGTGTCCGGTCATGGCCGGCAAGATTGGTGGAATAATGAAAGAGCCGCAAGGCCAAGAGACCCGCACCGGTAGCCTTTGAAAGGATTACCCTTGTATGGAAGCACCCCATGGGGGGGGGGGCTCCTCCCCCCCCCCCCAAAATGGGGTTGGTTTAATTGAAGAAATTATCCCGATTGATCGCCCGACAGAATGTTGATTAATTAGTAGTGAGCTTTGTTTACCTTTACCGGGTCTAAATGGTGATCAAAGGAACCAATCAATGGAACTTAATCATTACGGTGGAAATGGATCTCTCCCGATCAGTAATTTGTGTTATGTCAGTTCCCCTCAAGTTATCTGTCTGCCTCTCTCTCTCTTTCTCTCTCTCTCATGGTATCTCTTGCCTTCTCGCTCTGTCTGTGTAAGCATATCTCTGCCCTTCTGGCTCTATTGCTCTCATTTTATCGCTGTCCTTCTCGCTCTGTCTCTCTTAGTGTATCCACTGTCTAATGTCTGCCCTATAACAGTTCATGTTGCCCATAGTCTTGTCTCCACTGTCTGCCCTTCAACAGTTCATGTTGTCCATAGTCTTGTCTCCACTGTCAAGAGCAGTGGTTCTCCTAATCACGCGACCATTTCATACAGTTCCTCATGTTTTGGTGACCCCCAACCATAAAATTATGCTCGTTGCTACTTCATAAATATGTGTTTTCCGATGGTCTTGGGTGACCCCTGTGCAAGGGTCGTTCGATCCCGGTCGCGACCCAAAGATAGAGAACCGCTGTTCTAGTGTCTCCCCCAGTAACAGCTTACACGCTCCAATTAAAGCCGTGTGTCTTAGTCTTCGCGTTGATTGTTTGAGCAGGCGGTCAATGCTTGTTTTATTAGACAGTTTAATAAGATAGTTAGATGTGATTTTAAAGAATGGCGTATGTTGTGATGAGATGGGAGGTCACTCATGTTATGTGATGTGAGGCCACTAAAGCTATTAGATGGGCGGTCACTCATGGATTCGTGTAATGGTCTTCCTCCTCACTATCAATGGTACATGATGAACTACTCTTATTAGTACAGGAGTTTGCACTGTAAATCAAATTTCTGACACATGCACATCCATTCCGACGTTTGGCTCATTATGCAAACATAATACGTTAGAAGAAAAGAAGCAGATGGGTCATTAGGGAATGTAGGGGATATAGGGGAAATGGGAAATATGGGATGTGAGGGATATAAGGGATGTAGGTGAAGTAGGAGATGAACAAGGGGGCTTAACTCTGAGCATGGCGTATGTTTTGTGCCGGTGGGTTGGAGGAGTCACATTCTCTTGAGTATTATTTGACTGCCTCGTGTGTAAGTTGCGTAAATGATTTGATTGGTAATGATAGGCTTACTGTGAAGTTTTCAGCATTGTATTCTGACGTAAGTAGCAAAGCTGGCTTAGTGTTTCCTTTATCAAAATTAAGAAATCGTTCACAGACGACAGAATTTACTTTCACGACAGAATATATACACACGATCAAATCTATACACACGACAGAATCTACAAACATGACATAACCTATATACACGACAGAATGTATATGCACGGACAGAATCTACATACACGACATAATCTATACACACGACAGATTCTACATACATGACGTATTCTACATACACGCCAGTGTTCATATCGCCCACGCGTACTTTCAAACATATCTTTGAACAATGCCTACTGCTGGCTCGTGCAAAATGAGATTATTTTCTTGAAACCTACGGGAACACGTGACGGGTAGAGTCATGCTGCTTTGACAAACGCACTTCGGCGTTCACGATGAGGGCAGACTCAGTACTGATCAAAATAAATACACATGCCACTGGCATCTCTGAATGACTAAGTTTTGCTAACGGTAAAAAAAAATTTGTTTGGTCGTCCATCATCATTGTGACACACTGTCAAAATGGCGACCCAGCATTTTTTTCGAGGGTATTTTGATTCATGCACAGAACAATAGCGTAGGATCTGCAGCATAGAAACCTGACACCGTAGACAGTTCCCATGGGAACAGCCTAATTGTTATAGATACCTCAAGCATCAGTAGGCGCGCTAAAATTAAATTAATACATCCTTTTATGTCTGGGAGCCCATGTCATTTTTTATTAATACCCCCTATGGCTCTTTTAGACCCACTGACAATTTTTAGTTCCGTCGCCGATTTAATCGAAAACGGAATCACCGTATTATGTTAGTTCAATAAATCAGGAAAAAACTTCAAACATTTTCCGTGTTACAGATTGCTGCCACCGGGTTGTCCGGGAATGACGACGTCTAAGCGTTTACGTTCAACCATTGTCCGATACGGTCTGTTGATCATCATGGGCCAAGTGATCGTCCCAGACGTCCGAGGAGCGGCGCCGTACTGTGACATGTGCGACGACGAGGAGGGTCCAAGCAAACGGGGTCTACATCGCTGCGGCTTGACGGAGTTTGACGTGGAGGACTCCGTCTTGCTTGAACGTAAAAGTGTGTGTCACGTGGTTTATACTGTAAAACATTGAATCTGCGATTGATGAAAAAAAAAAAAAAAAACTAACCAACTAACTGTCATGTGACGCTATTATAATTTAGAGTTGGACCAGACAGCTGTCTCGGGTCCGCTTCTTTACCGAATGAAAAAATTGAAGGCATTTTTTTTTTAAAGATAAACATTACGAGATCAAACAAATTCACATGAACACAAGGATGAAAGCAAAGCCGAGTGTAAAGCCGAGTGTAAAGCCGAGTGTAAAGCCGAGTGTAAAGCCGAGTGTAAAGCCGAGTGTAAAGCCGAGTGTAAAGCCGAGTGTAAAGCCGAGTGTAAAGCCGAGTGTAAAGCCGAGTGTAAAGCTTACATTTAGGCGTATTCTCCCCCCAAAAAGTATGTATTAATAAATGCTATATTGCATGAGAAATAATTATCTTGGCGTGCTTTAAAGGTGGGGGAGGGGTTGGTCACACCCATTGCCCACCCTCTTCGCACGGTGGTGCATGTAACATTTCTTTACAAAGTATCCTGATGGGGGTGTGTCATAAATGCTATGATTTCCTTGGCTTGATAAATCTTTTCTCCGCCCCTACTTTTAAATAACCAATCGCCGCGTACTTCCGGTCATCTCATGTTCCCCACTTTGCCTATATTAATTCCCTATACCTACTTTGAGTTGTCTAGCTTCCTCTTGGTGTTCTCTTTGACACTACCTTTAGGCTAGGTTTTCTTTGTATATTTGTTTGACAATATGTGTTTGACTATATGTGTTACTCTCCGTTTGAAACGTTCACTGACGAAGACTTCTTGCCGACATGTTCGCTATATCGCTTCGTCCTTTTTTTTCAGTTTTCGCCCCTACCTTGTGCTATACATTTCCTGATATTATAGGTTGTTGTTTTTGGTTTGGTTTTTTCTAAACTCTGCAAGAGCGGATTTTTTAAAAGGAAAATATGTTCTTCAAACTGCATTAGGCGTGGAAACTTAATCCTTATCTAAACAACACAGTGTTTTCTAAGCTTTTTTGGGAATGCGTCCAACTTTCAAACTTAACTTAAAGTTCGAATGTGACCGATTTTTCCATAATTGATGTAAAATAAACCCACACCTGTGTCCTTTTCGGGCCACTTTTTAGCCGTGTCCAAATTATGGCCATCTAACAATAACAAAAACCCATAAAATAAACATTAAAACATTCATAATTTTTTTAAAATAAAATTAAGTCCAAGATTTTTTTGATTTTTTTAAATTTTTTTTTGTGTGTTCCATTAAATTTAAAAGACACTGTAGCCGTGACTTAAATAACAAGATAAGCGTTAATATTGTGTTCGTTTTCCGATTTTAACAAAATGTTTGACCACAAGTGGAATGTTGGATTTGACCAACTTGTCCCATGAGCCCGCGTATGTCCATCAAGGTATCATTTAAGGACACACGGGAGAACATGTTTTCCTGATTACAATTAAAGGGAACGCAATCGTTAGTCCTTAGAAGTGTTCCAACCAGCCTGGTGCATAGCACGGCACACTTGGGTGTGTTTAGGAAAAAAAATGGGCGTCCATCAAAATGTATTTAGTTGTTTTTTTGGGGGGGTGGGTTGGGGGAGGGTGTGGGGGGGGGTTAGATTGGGTGTGTTTAGGAAAAAAAATGGGCGTCCATCAAAATGTATTTAGTTGTTTTTTTGGGGGGGTGGGTTGGGGGAGGGTGTGGGGGGGGGGTTAGAGTGGGACCGTCTGTAGCAATCAAACCGTGACAATTGTACTTTCAGAATAAATAAGTTAAAATGCATTATCTTCGTAATCAAGGCGCTAAAATCTCCGGAAGGTGAAAAGAAAATGGGGGATGTCGGGGGGAAAAGAGGGGTTGGGGGAAAGGGGAGGGGGGAGCTAGGCGCCTCCAAACATCCATGCGTAACATTTACTCAGTTCAAGTTTCTATAGAAAAATAATTAATGGCATCACATTCTTGGCAGCATACCTCTTATAGTTTATTATGAAAACTACCAGTGAGGCGGGGAATATTACCATTGGTACTACCAGTAAATCGGGCAAAATTACCATTGGTACTACCAGTAAATCCGGCAATATTACCATTGGTACTACTAGTAAATCGGGCAATATTACCATTGGTACTACCAGTAAATCGGGCAAAATTACCATTGGTACTACCAGTGAGACGGGGAATATTACCATTGGTACTACCAGTAAATCGGGCAATATTACCATTGGTACTACCAGTAAATCGGGCAAAATTACCATTGGTACTAACCAGTAAATCCGGCAATATTACCATTGGTATTACCAGTAAATCGGGCAATATTACCATTGGCAGTACCAGTGAGGCGGGCAATATTACCATTGGCAGTACCAGTGAGGCGGGCAATATTACCATTGGCAGTACCAGTGAGGCGGGCAATATTACCATTGGCAGTACCAGTGAGGCGGGCAATATTACCATTGGCAGTACCAGTGAGGCGGGCAATATTACCATTGGTAGTTCCAGTAAATCGGGAAATATTACCATTGTCAGTACCAGTGAGGCGGGGATAATATCATTGGTACTACCACTGAGGCGTGGAATATAAAATTTAAAAAAATTCATCTTTCGCTCTCAAGGATCACTGACTATTTGAGTCTCTATTTTTATGTTTGATTGATTTCATAAACGCCCTTTGTTTTCAGTGTTCTTACCCAGTAGTCTGGACGGTGTTTTGACATACGGTGTCAAAAATGCTTTGTCTTTCTTGACCAAAACAAGCCGAGGGATACCGACCAAAGATGCCGGCCTGTTCGACACGAGTCCGTATAGGGAATATTTTAATGAACAGTAAAGTTATAATCTGAGATCAACCACAGAAATGATCTCAAAAGTACGAGCATTGTGTGGATATTGTTTGTTTTTTTTTGTTTTTTTAAAGATTAATATGCCAGGTAAGCTGACGATGAAAAGCCAGGTAAGATGATGATGACGATAAGCCAGTTACGATGATGACGATAACAATGAAAATTATCAATGAAAAGGTGTGGGGGGGGGGGGAAGACTGCTAGCGCAAAGGGAAATAATTAAGAGCAAGAAGATTTAATCAAGGACCTAGAAGTTATCAAAGGGAAATCATCGAAATAAATCGATTAATCGGGGGAGCGGGGGAGTCATGGGAATTCATGAATGCATAGAAAACGCTGGAGTATAGTTTTTGTTGTCTTACCGTATACACACAATTATGACTGATGTATAGTGTGTAGTGTGTTCAGTTGTTTACATCATACATTTGTATTACGAGATTTATTTTTTTAAATAATATTTCAAAATACGTTAAAGCACTACAAGATCAGACTGTATACCCAAATGTGTATTAAGATGTATACATGAAGGGATATTTTAAGTTCCTTCTAATCAACCAATGCCCTTCTACACCAGTGGTTCTCAACCATCTTAAAGCCGAGACAGTTTAATTCAGTCTATCATAGTGTGGTAACCCCCAACCATAAAATTACTTTCGTTGCTTCTTCATAAATATGCATTTTCCGAAGGTTTTAGGTGACCCCTGTGTAAGGGTGGTTCGACCCCCCCCTCCTCCAAATGGGTAATGACCCACAAGTTGAGAACCGCTGTTCTACATAGATTGATTATACCATAGCTTGACGTGTTACCTGCTGTACTGAGAATGAGGAAAGGGACATTGTTGAACACCAGGCACTTAAACAACCCCCCCCCCCCACGCCACCACATCTCACCCCAAAAAAAACACCCAAAGCCAGCACAAATAACAGAAACCATGATGGTTGCTTTACCCGCGTCCCTCAGCTCCCTAAAGGTTTCCTTTGACATGGGTCGCTTGACCAGCGTCCATCCTCGCATTCAAAGCCGTGAAAATGTATGTTTACAAATGTAAAAATCCCGTTTGATGGCATATGTTGGCGAAGGACGCATACGTAAAGAAATGAGAACCATTCGGATATTATTTTTCCTTTATTTTTGACACAAACCCCTGCATGTCTCGTTCATTGTCTAATGTATTACACCAGCCCCTGCATGTCTCGTTCATTGTCTAATGTATTACACCAGCCCCTGCATGTCTCGTTCATTGTCTAATGTATTACACCAGCCCCTGCATGTCTCGTTCATTGTCTAATGTATTACACCAGCCCCTTCATGTCTCGTTCATTGTCTAATGTATTACACCAGCCCCTGCATGTCTCGTTTATTGTCTAATGTATTACACCAGCCCCTGCATGTCTCGTTTATTGTCTAATGTATTACACCAGCCCCTGCATGTCTCGTTTATTGTCTAATGTATTACACCAGCCCCTGCATGTCTCGTTTATTGTCTAATGTATTACACCAGCCCCTGCATGTCTCGTTTATTGTCTAATGTATTACACCAGCCCCTGCATGTCTCGTTTATTGTCTAATGTATTACACCAGCCCCTGCATGTCTCGTTTATTGTCTAATGTATTACACCGGCCACTGCATGTCTCATTCAGTTTCTAATAAAATAATTTCTTCGTAAAACTGTATTGACAGAACTCGTTACTATTTGATATCTTTTCAATGTTCTAAATAATTAATGTACTTAAAAGCACAGACTACTAGGACCATAAAAGGCATATTTATGTATAACTTCTAGAATAAGGGCTCTCACACAGAACACAGTGGTTGTATTACCCCTAGGGTCATGACTCAAACACAGATCCTGTATCATCCTAAAGGATCATGACTATCACAAAGAACACAGATTCTGTATCACCCTAGAAACATGACTCCCAAATTAGAACTCAGATTTAGTATCACTCGAAGATCATGACTCTCAAACAGAACTCAGGTCCTGTATCAACCATCTTAACATCATGCTCACACAGAACACAGATCATGTATCAACCAGAATAACATGACTTTCACACAGAACACATATCATAACATCACCACTAGGAACATGCCTCTCACACAGAACACAGATCATGTATCAACCAGAGTATCATGACTTTCACACAGAACACATATCATAACATCACCACTAGGAACACGCCTCTCACACAGAACACAGATCATGTATCAACCAGAATAACATGACTTTCACACAGAACACATATCATAACATCACCACTAGGAACATGCCTCTCACACAGAACACAGATCATGTATCAACCAGAGTATCATGACTTTCACACAGAACACATATCATAACATCACCACTAGGAACACGCCTCTCACACAGAACACAGATCATGTATCAACCAGAATAACATGACTTTCACACAGAACACATATCATAACATCACCACTAGGAACATGCCTCTCACACAGAACACAGACCATGTATCAACCAGAGTATCATGACTTTCACACAGAACACATATCTTAACATCACCACTAGGAACATGCCTCTCACACAGAACACAGATCATGTATCAACCAGAGTATCATGACTTTCACACAGAACACATATCATTATAACATCACCACTAGGAACGTGCCTCTCACACAGAACACAGATCATGTATCAACCAGAGTAACATGACTTTCACACAGATCATATATCAACCAGAGTAACATGACTTTCACACAGACCATGTATCAACCAGAGTAACATGACTTTCACACAGATCATGTATCAACCAGAGTAACATGACTTTCACACAGATCATGTATCAACCAGAGTAACATGACTTTCACACAGATCATGTATCAACCAGGGTAACATGACTTTCACACAGATCATGTATCAACCAGAGTAACATGACTTTCACACAGATCATGTATCAACCAGAGTAACATGACTTTCACACAGATCATGTATCAACCAGAGTAACATGACTTTCACACAGAACACAGATCATGTATCAACCAGAATAACATGACTTTCACACAGACCATGTATCAACCAGAGTAACATGACTTTCACACAGATCATGTATCAACCAGAGTAACATGACTTTCACACAGAACACATATCATAACATCACCACTAGGAACATGCCTCTCACACAGAACACAGGCCATGTATCAACCAGAGTATCATGACTTTCACACAGATCATGTATCAACCAGAGTAACATGACTTTCACACAGAACACAGATCATGTATCAACCAGAATAACATGACTTTCACACAGACCATGTATCAACCAGAGTAACATGACTTTCACACAGATCATGTATCAACCAGAGTAACATGACTTTCACACAGAACACAGATCATGTATCAACCAGAATAACATGACTTTCACACAGACCATGTATCAACCAGAGTAACATGACTTTCACACAGATCATGTATCAACCAGAGTAACATGACTTTCACACAGAACACATATCATAACATCACCACTAGGAACATGCCTCTCACACAGAACACAGGCCATGTATCAACCAGAGTATCATGACTTTCACACAGAAGACATATCATAACATCACCACTAGGAACATGCCTCTCACACAGAACACAGATCATGTATCAACCAGAGTATCATGACTTTCACACAGACCATGTATCAACCAGAGTAACACTACTTTCACACAGACCATGTATCAACCAGAGTAACATTACTTTCACACAGACCATGTATCAACCAGAGTTACATGACTTTCACACAGAACACATATCATTATAACATCACCACTAGGAACGTGCCTCTCACACAGAACACAGATCATGTATCAACCAGAGTAACATGACTTTCACACAGATCATATATCAACCAGAGTAACATGACTTTCACACAGACCATGTATCAACCAGAGTAACATGACTTTCACACAGACCATGTATCAACCAGAGTAACATTACTTTCACACAGATCATGTATCAACCAGAGTATCATGACTTTCACACAGAACACATATCATTATAACATCACCACTAGGAACGTGCCTCTCACACAGAACACAGATCATGTATCAACCAGAGTAACATGACTTTCACACAGATCATGTATCAACCAGAATAACATGACTTTCACACAGATCATGTATCAACCAGAGTAACATGACTTTCACACAGATCATGTATCAACCAGAATAACATGACTTTCACACAGATCATGTATCAACCAGAATAACATGACTTTCACACAGATCATGTATCAACCAGAGTAACATGACTTTCACACAGATCATGTATCAACCAGAATAACATGACTTTCACACAGATCATGTATCAACCAGAATAACATGACTTTCACACAGATCATGTATCAACCAGAGTAACATGACTTTCACACAGATCATGTATCAACCAGAATAACATGACTTTCACACAGATCATGTATCAACCAGAATAACATGACTTTCACACAGATCATGTATCAACCAGAGTAACATGACTTTCACACAGATCATGTATCAACCAGAGTAACATGACTTTCACACAGATCATGTATCAACCAGAGTAACATGACTTTCACACAGATCATGTATCAACCAGAGTAACATGACTTTCACACAGATCATGTATCAACCAGAGTAACATGACTTTCACACAGATCATGTATCAACCAGAGTAACATGACTTTCACACAGATCATGTATCAACCAGGGTAACATGACTTTCACACAGATCATGTATCAACCAGGGTAACATGACTTTCACACAGATCATGTATCAACCAGATTAACATGACTTTCACACAGATCATGTATAAACCAGAGTAACATGACTTTCACACAGATCATGTATCAACCAGGGTAACATGACTTTCACACAGATCATGTATCAACCAGGGTAACATGACTTTCACACAGATCATGTATCAACCAGAGTTACATGACTTTCACACAGACCATGTATCAACCAGAGTAACATGACTTTCACACAGATCATGTATCAACCAGAGTAACATGACTTTCACACAGATCATGTATCAACCAGGGTAACATGACTTTCACACAGATCATGTATCAACCAGAGTAACATGACTTTCACACAGATCATGTATAAACCAGAGTAACATGACTTTCACACAGATCATGTATCAACCAGAGTAACATGACTTTCACACAGAACGCCCCAACGAAGTCTTACTCC